ATAAAATTGAATTGAATTGAGTTGGATGCTTCGTCAACAGTAATTTAAGGTATGCAAGACTTGTAATTAATGGGCTTAAACTTGCATGTAACCCCTTCAACACACTACTTTAGTTTCTAACATCTATTTTTTCTTTTGCTTGACCTGTGTTTTCTCTAACACATCTAGAAAGAACATAGTTAGAACACTGATTCTCGAAATCTTTATTTGTGAAGTCAATTTGAAACTGCCAGTTCCTCCACAAATATCGTTAACTGTGTCAGCATAGTGTCTGCATATGGTCAGCACTGCCTGCTGCTGCGACTGTTTAACAGCAGATGATGTTAGAAAGGGACTTTCAGTTCTGGGAAGTGAGCAGCTCATGTGCGGAGGATGCTGGAGCTGATGGGACAGGAAGCAGTGTTTTCTTGGATGGGTCAGTCTGTGCCACAATGTCCCTTTTGTCTCGGAGCTCCGCGGTGATCCCAGGAGATTCCTCGGCGCCGCCCCTCCCCCTCCTCCTCCTCCTGCCCCTCCACACTGGGATCTGACACAGAGTCTCCAGGCAGCACTGATCCTCCATCACCATGGCGGTTTGGGTGGGATATGGAGCCAAGAGCTTAGTCAGATCATAGATAATAAGGCCATTTGTAATGTGAATATGAGACACTGCTTTTCAATAGTAAAAGTTTCTTCCATGAATCCAACCACATTTGGATCATTTTAGTATCATTTCATCACTCACTCTTTGAATCCTGGCGTAAAACTGGAAGAGCTAGGTCAGCCCGCACATCTCTGTGGTGTAGTATAAGATTTTCTAAAACAATAAATTAACTGATTGATTAGTAAATGACAGAATATGTTCGACTTACAGTTTAAATAATCCATTAATCCTTTTCCCAATTATTATGAAAAAACATTTCCTGGTTTCAGTTTAAAAAATATAAAACTACTAAGATATCAATCAGATCAGATATCAATCAGATATCAATCAGATATGGAGTAAGATTATTATTCATCTTTGTGCCCACCTGATGAAATCTAATTCACTCTCTTTCTAGCTCTGGTTTGGTGTCCATCAACTCCTGACAAAAGTATGTTGTGTTCTTAGCTGCTCGACGTTCCAATTTCTCCACCAGCTTATTTTGTCTGTGTGCTTGGTGCTGGGCAGGTAGCATACAGTGGATTTATCAGAGCTTGTTTACTGAAAACTGCAGCTGTCTATAAAAAATGAGTGTAAAAATTGTTTTTGTTTATGTATAAGCAGGAGTACTGCCATTTTATTGATATTGATTATATTTTAATTAATTAAAAAACAGTCTTGTTTTAAGCCTTCTT